ACACACACACACACACACACACACACACACACACACACACACACACATATTTATATATATATAACCAGACAAACATTTATAAATAAGTGTTACACAGATTTGAAAAACGTTATTATGCATAACCCAAAGTAAATGCAAACAATTTTTTAAATAGATTTTTTTTAAACACACACAAACATATTTTAGAATTACTATATTTTATAGGTTAATGAAATCTTTTTTTTTTTTTTTTTTAGAAAAATGTACTGCACTATGCAAAACCATCACAATTTCACATTTTGCTTCCAAGGAGTTATATTTTTTTGTATACTTTGAAGTGATCTTGTTCAGTAGTTCTCAATGCTACCTGAAGGTCCTTTTAAAGATGTGTCTTTGTTTCTTTCTTCATTTCCTGGCCAGTTCAAGACAATATTATGCAGTGTGTGCAAAAAAAGAACAAAGTGGACAAGTGGAGGGCAAAGAAAGTGTCAGGCCCAACTACAAAATAAAAATCAAACTACAGCAAATTACTTGTATTTGAATGTTGAGTTTTAATTAGTTTTGTCTTCTTTCAGCTGCTTCCTTCTTCAGGGGTCGCCACAGCGAACTAACTCGCATGACAACATGGCAATTGTTTTTATGCCAGATGCCCTTCCTGACACAACCACAGACCACTGAGCTCCCACAGCCCTTTGTGTGGAGCAGAGAGTTACAGTATCTAGGGCGCTGGGGGGAGCAGACAGTGGGGGTTAAGGGTCCAGAGTGGGGCAAATGAGGGTGGAAGCAGGTGTGGGTGTTTCACCTTTCCCACCCATATTTTTATGTTGTCGGTCCAGGGAGTTGACACGGTGACCTTCTGATCACAAGCCCACCTTCTCTCTGCCACCACTCGCCAGAATCTCAAAAAACCCAAACTCCCTTGTGTTTTAATTCAATTCAATTTATTTACAGTATATAACAACATAAGTCATCTCAGGGCACTGAACAGAAACATTCATATATATATACAACCGGCTGTACTGGTCCAAAGACAAGTTGTCAAAGATTAAAACCAACTTGGACCCTGCATGTAACCACTGTAAACAAACTCCAGCTACACTCCTGCATACATTCTGGACCTGTCCCAAACTGTGGACCTATTGGCAATCTATTTTTGACATCTTCTCTGGAATATGTGGAAAAACTGTACACCCATCACTGTTCAGCTCACCGTTTGGGGTGGGCCCCTGTGGTTACGTCCTTCAGCAAGTATGAGAAGGATGTGATTGTCTTTGGTGCTCTTCTGATCAGGATACTTGTTTTGTGCAGATGGAAAGACCCACACCCCGGCATATGAACACTGGATAAGAGAAACCATGTATCATATTCATCTGGAAAAAAATATATACCCTGAAAGGTTCTGTTAAAAGATTTTGGGACACCTGGCAGCCTTTTGTGTTATATGTTAAAAACATGTCAATGCCTGTTGAAGACATTTATATTTGTGGTAGGGGATTTTGTTCTATGTTCTTTTTTCTTACTTTTCTCTTTTGTGTGTATGTGTTAAAAAAAAAAAAACTCAATAAAAAGACTTTGCTAAAAAAAAAAAAATACTTTTTTCATTTTTAATTCAGCTAAAAATAGTTTTTTTTTATCATGCTGTAAATTATAAATGACCTAATCTAAAACAAAATATTTTCTAAATTAGGGTTGTGTCAGCACAACACTGATTCATCCCTTTAGTTTAGGCTCATTAGGTTAGAGGTGACTGGCTCAACAAAAAAATATAGAAAACAAACGTTCCTGTAAAGATGAATAAATAGGCAGCCAAAGGCCAAAGCAACACTTTGATGAAAGACCTTCAGAAAGCTTGAAGAACCCTGTTCAAGAGCTGTCTCCTTAGACGTAAAGCAGAAAGATACGAGGGAGATCTTTGATTTTTGTACTAATCATACACAATCTCTTTGCTGTCGAGATGTTTTTCCACATTACAGAGATTATCTTTCAAGAGAACATACCAAGTCACGAATTTTCCACTTCCACTGACCCTGGAATTGTTAATATAAATTGTGCCACGACCCCAGTTTCCTGAAGGGAGGGACGTGCCTCCACTTACGCTGAAGATCATGGTGGATTTGAAGTGTTGAACCTAGATATTTTTTTTTATATTTCTCAAAGTCCCACACTAAATGTAGCTGTAAGCTGAGCAATTTGACTCTTATGTGTTAATAACACATATCCAAGGTGGGGACGAAGAGCTTTTAAGAATCAAAATAGAAAATACTGGTAATGCATTTTTGGTTATCCACAATTTAACTCGATTAGAACTGACATGTATTTTCTTATTACAACTTAAGACGTGCATAAAAATCTCCATCTGGTGATAATCACAATATTTACGTTTAACGAGTCCAATACGTTTCCACAAATTTAAAATCATCATGAAAGACCAGCCTTAAGTAAAACCATTCTAGCTGCACATATTTTTAATTACTTCCTCAGCACTGCAAGAGCCCAAACTGACAAAAGCTTATTTTCAGCAGAACGTGTGAAAACACTTGTACGTTTCTTCTTTCTAAATCAATATATTGAAAATCCTCCGTTTTGAGGACGTTTGAAATAATAGCAAAAGAAAACCATTATAAAAAGTAGTGCCAGAGCTCGTGTGTGTGAGAAAAAGCAGGCATCCCCACAGTCCCACTGGGATTCTCTCCCCTGCAGTGCATGACACAAAAATATACATTTAGCCATTACAATGCCATAAAACAAGACACGCCACAAACCCAGGCCGAAACAGCTGTCAGGTAAAGGTAAAATAAAAAAAACAACGCAGACTTGGTGTCTGTTTCGATGGAGAGCAGGCGCGTTGGGTGAATGGACTCCTGTGTCCGCAGCTTCTGTCTCTGCGCTGCATCACCGCCTCACCACAACCTGCCGAGCCGTTACGTCGACGCGTCTAAACCTCGGAGCCAAGCAGCGCAGGGAGTGACTCCGCAGAGACGTCCCACACGCGGCGGTCGGTCCCCCCCTGAGCCTGTGCAGAAGCTCGAGTTTGTTGTTCCATTATGTAATGCGGTGACACACGTCAGTGGCTTGGTTAGGAGCTCAACGTGACCACGGGGTATTTAAATTATGTGAGTAAAGGTGTATTACAATAGTAACATTAAAACAGACATGTATACAAAACATATACATTTAGGACTAAGTATTATCAGAGTAATAGCCACAATAATCCATTAAATGTGCATTATAGTAAAATAAAACCAATATATTGTCATTTTAAATGCGTATGAAGTACTCAGGCATTGTGGGTTTTACATTTTATTTTTTGCATCCTCAGACATTCCTAAGACAAAAAAAAAAAGATGTATAATAACTTCAACGAGAACGCTACGTATACCTGTGAACCATCCAAATGCATGCTCAAAAAATAATTTCCAGGTGAAAACCCACATTGCCTTGTGGCTCAGCTTTAATTAGAAGATGTGTTGATCTGATTGAAGAGTTTGTCCTTAATGACTTGAGACATCAGACCATGGATTGCCTCGATCGTCGTCTTGCAGCTAAAATTAATAAAAAATAAAATAAAAAAAGTGATAAATATTAACCGCACAAAACCAGATAAATCATAAAGAAATAAAATATCTGTACTGGTACTGGTAGTTCCACACGAGCAATTAATTATGAAATTGTTTTTAGGAGACTTTTGTGGCGTAAAAATAAAATGTTATTTTAGAATAACAGAATGGTTTAGAAAAAAAGAAAATACTTTGGATGAAAACACAACAATTGAGACAAAAAATACGTAGTGAATTGTTAGAAAAATTGACTGACTTTTGCCAATAACATTAATTTAAATAAAGTATATTAATTGAATCTAGTAGAAACGCAGAGATTTGAAAATTGCTCAAGCATCGAGCATAATTTGCTCCAGCAGTTTTCCAACTACACTAATAAATAACGCCTGGTTGAAAAGAACAAGTTATATGATAATAAGCCCAGCTTGTATAAAAAAAAGAAATATATGCTGAGGTGACTGAGAACGATGCACACAAAAGCCCCTTGGGATCAAGAAGTCCAGCAATTTTGACATAATGTTCTGTATTTATGCCCAGACTTGCTGAGTAATCAGATAAATGTGTTTTATTTACATGGAGTGCATACCTGCATTTCCAAATTGCGTATTCTGAAATATCTGGAAAACTGCTGGAGCAAACTCTTTCAAACGGCACCACTTACTATAAAATATAACAAATTTTAAGTGTGATTTCATATTTTACAATAAGCACCTTTAAGACGTTATTAAAATAAAACTTTGGTTATTTCAGACTATTTTTATGTCGCACAGTAAAAACACCTGACAAAATTAAATGTGATCAACCACGACTTTAGAAGACTTTCTGTCATTTTAACCTTCTTGTCAGAGAGGATGCCACATAAGATTAAATAAATGTAGTTCCTGTTTAATTCTAACCTGAAAACTCGAATATTTCTTTCCCCCTAAAAAAAGAAGAAGAAGAAGAAATCTACCTGTCTCGTGTTGCTTTGGCCAGTTTGTCCTCGGACTTCCTGTCGTGCGTGTCCAAGCCGAGCATGAAGCTGCCTCTGCCGAGCTGCGCCTCGGACTGCTCCAGCTTCTCCGACAGGTCAAACACCTGGCCCGTAGTGTAATCCGAGTTCTGATCATCCAGCACACACAAACACAACTTTATGAACAACTTGTCAACAAAAGTAAGAGAACAGATTCACAGATCGTTCTCTCTTTTTTTGCAGAACGCAACAAATCTGTCACTGGACACTTTGAGAGTTGTAGTGAATGACTGAAAGTCGGTGAAACGTTTGCTTAAGGTGAGGTTGTGTTTACAGAGGAAAAGGTAATTAAGACACAATGTCATGGGGGAGGGGGGGGGGGCCTGACAGGGGTGACAGCGTAGCGACTGACAAAGCCCGTCACCCCGGGAGCAGCTCGTTCTTGACATTTAGTCAATTCATCTTCATCCAGAACGCCAACGAGCTTACCGTTTGTAAAAACCCGATGTCTGTTTAAACTTCAACGAGCACAACGCGAATCCATTTAAGGAATGCTCAAAATACAGAAAGAACTGCAGGAGAAAGGGAGGCTTGGATCACCGGACTCGCGGCCAGCTTTCCTACTCGCCTTTGTTAAAAAAGTTCACATAAAGCTTATTACTAAAACCAATAAACAGGGAGGCTTGGCTAATACGCGGCAATAAATCACAACATCACAAGCTGGAGACCACATGTCTAAATGAGTTATAGTGTAATAATTATCCATAAATCAAAATGCCAAACAATTAGCGAACATTTTGATTTTTGTGGTTGTTTACATACCGTCAGGAGGCTCGAGGAACTTAAGGTATTAACCCAGTATTTATTCCAGAGGAGCTCCAGGAGTTTTCTATCAAGGGAAGACTTGAAGTAGGTTACCTCCAAGGCGTAATACCTGAAAATAAATTTTTTTTTAAAAAAAGCGAGCTACCACGGTGGAATCAAATAGTTAACACATCCTTTAATATACCACGAAAAGTTACTCACTGTTTACAATGTACACCAAAATCTTCTATCTTGTTCAGAGGGATCGTCTGGTATTCTGACGGGCCCTCGTCTGGAGGTTTGTAACCCTGAAAATGCAGTTTTTTTTTTTAAACTTCTCACATTAATTTACAAAACAGTCAATGACTGCTTTGATTTTTTTATAGCACTTAAAAGAAAACTGGTATCAGCTCCTCTACCTTGGGGTAGGTTCTAAAGGCACCAAGGTTGACTTTCCCTGCAGAAATAGTCCGAGTGGGGTCGATCTGTGGGAAGCGTGATACAGTAGAACAGGACAACAGAGTCAGGGGTCGTACAGTCCTCAGGGACTACTCAAATCTGGCCACCAGGAGCCTTTTGCCAGCACTGTCAGTACGTTGAACACACACACTTAATTATGTGACGCCCCTGGCATTTAAGTACCGCTGTACCAAATGAAGTGTAAATAGCAGATATGTTTGCCACAGCAAAATAATAATCTGTACAGCGCAGAAAGCTACAACTCATACATCAATAATCTTCTCAGTTAAATCTACATTGTTTATTTTTATAAAGAAATATAAGAATTACTCACATTCATGCTTAGCTTTTTTACAGAACAATTAGGAGTCACAGAAGACAAAACACTTCACTTAAAAAAAAAAAAATGAAAATATGTATTTCCTGTCTTACCACAACAGCAACAAAGGGTTCCTGAAACTGCTGGTTGAGCATTTGAGTGCTGACATCGATGCCTGAGAGCCAGCACCCGTAGCCAGGGTGACTGTGGTACCAGCCAATCGCATTCTCCAGCCGGCCAACCTAAGGGATGAAAAACATTTAAATCTGTAAAAACGATTATATTAAAATTATCGCTTTCAGTGTAGATCCCTGGCATTTAATTGTTATTTCTAGAGGAAGAAAAATATACAAACTTTTCTATTATGATTAGGTCTTATATTCTTAGAAAAAAAGACAAAAATTGAAGATTTTTTTTTTTAACTGCCCGACAGATTATAAAATAAATGTCAGCAAATTTACAATTAGTTTCGTACAAGATTTCAGGCTATATAGTTTACCACTCCAGCAAGTAATTTATCTTGGAAAGAACAAAACAACATAAAAATCCTACAAATTTTCTATCACTTTCAAAAAGCCATCAACATTTGTAATGTTTTGTTAACATGAACTCACAGTCCATGATTTCAATATCAAATAATAGAACTACGGTAGCTACAAAAAATATCAGTTTGTCTAATTCAGTCAATGAAACAAAGAATCTAAAAAAAAGTGTTGCTTTTAGAAATAAGTAAAAGAATTAAAGATTCACTCGCCTGCATTCATCACCAACTCTGACAGAGAATCAGCGTCGAGTCATGTAAAATGTTATGTTTAACACACAGTGGTTGCCGTATTGAGACTCAAACACTTTGCTTTATGTAGGGAAAATTATTAAAAGCTAAACTCCTAAAACAACTTCCAAATGATGTGCATACAGCATGCAACGTTTTCTCCTGCAACATTCATCCATCTATTTTCTTTAACCCCCTTATCTATTCCAGGGTGCAGGGGAGTTGGTGCTCATCTCCAGCGGTCGCTGTGTGAGAAGCGAGGGGACACCTTGGACAGGTCTCCAGTCCACCACAAGGACACAGACAACCATTCACACTCACTCACACCTAGGGACAATTTAGACCAATTAATCTAACGTGCATGTTTTCTCTGGAGTACTGAGGTGCTGCATTAAGGTTTTCCTGCAACACGATGCTTTAAAACTCTCAACCAGTTAAATCAGTGACGGCGATGGGTGCTGCTGTTCAGCAAATAAAAAGGTATCTGGTGCTTTACAACACTTTATTATAAAGTGTTTTTATTTCCTACTTACGTACGCGTTTATTTTTGCATAGGTGGAACTGGTTTGCATAAATTCGGGCTGCTGTTGTTACGCCGTATTGCTTTACATCATTAGTGTTTAGCGTATATCTTAGATCTCTAGGGAACTGTTTGGTGTTTGTTTAGCATATAGATCTTTATTTACGGTTTCTTTTTATAATTTATACTTTGCTAGATTTTGGGTATAACTGAGACCCTGTGTACATAATTTCGTTCCACCTCATGTACCAGATATGACAATAAAATTGACTTGAACTTCATAAATATAATTCAAGAAATAACACTAGTCACAGAAAGGGCACAGCTTTTTAACCCTCCTGCTGTCTAAACTGAGTTGCCTCAGGGGTTATTTCGACTCAAGGCCAGCAGGAGGGTCTTAACACAACTTGTGTGTATAGTTAGGTCCTTTTGTGAGGTCCTACCTGTTTGGCATTTTCAATGTAGGCAGCCATGTATTCATAAGCTGCAGCCTGGGCATTGACTCTGGTCTCTGTCCCCTCCACTGGCAAAGCAAAGCTGTCCATAATGATCATGGTCTCCCCATCCACCTTCCCCAGCATGAGACCCATCACCTCCAGGTTTCCACCGGACCTGGCGTGCATCACCATCTTCAACAGGGCCAGAGCTGAGATTTTGCAGTATTTGAAGTAGTGGTGGCTGAGAGGGACAAAAACAAAAAACAAAAAAATCACACGTCTTGAGCATTTTTTATGTAACCAAACACGAGCACAGCTTTAAATAAACAGTAATCTATACAGCATAAAAAGCTAAACAAACGCATGCTATCTAGTAGATTAAAAACTACAATTCTCTTTTAAACCTACTCCTTCGTCCATGGCTTCGCAGCGAGGATTTCTTGTTGTTGCTTCTTGTCATATTTGTAAATTTCATCGATGCTCTGAACTTCCTGCATTCTGTTGGAGAGCTCCCATGTTTTCTGAGCCGTGCTGCTGCCCGCCATGATGAACTATTTGAACTACAGTAACAAAAGTGTCGTCAAACGCCCTAATTTATACTCAAATACACGAGGAAATGTGATATATCTGAGAAGACTGTCGAGGACGAACATCTACCAGCTCAGGAAGCCATGACAGTGAACGATACTAACACACAAGATGGAGGCCCCGTGTATTAGAACTTAATCGGAAACGCTGTCATTTCAACAAAAAAAGGGATATGTTTTCTTTTAAAATATGATTTTAATTAAATATACTGATTTTATTCCGCTAAAAATACTTTTGGTACATCTATTGTTTATTTTTAAATTTACAATCACCCCTCTAACAAATGGTTTCGCCCGCTAACTACAGGTCGCTGTTGGGAAGCACTGCCATCTAGCGGCGATCTTTTGAAATTCAGGCACATCTTATATATTTCACATTTAATTTCAGGGCTTTATTTACACTTTTATTGAAATTTAAACTTGAGCTTTTAAGTCTTCACAGGTCTAGACAAAACTGAATGCTTATCTTTTATAATAACTTTAAGTTTAATTACGAATCCTTTTTTTTTTTTTTTTGAAAAGTGAACAGTGTTTATTATTTACAGTGGAGAATATATCCACATATATTGGCGGCTGTGGCTGAGTGGTTAGAGTAGTCGTCCTCCAATGCAAGAGTTGGGGGTTCGAATACACCAGCAGTCACCGAACCCCTCATTGCCGCCGATGTGTGTCCCATTGGTGTATGAATGTGATCGAAAGATCTGATTAGTCTCTTTAGAATGATTTGTTCAATTAGCTGGATCTAGTGGAGTGATGTATGAATGGGTAAATAAGGACACAGATTGTAAAGTGCTTTGAGTGTCTGAATAAGAAAGAAAGGAGCTAAATGGACAGAACCCTAAATGTCTACATGCTACATATGAGAGTGGGCACAGGTCCTGGAGGTGAGAATGACTACACATCCCACCCCCTATATGCCACCGTGTGCCCACTCCAGCCCCTGTATATGCATGTGTCATGAGAATGTTATATGTGAGTGTCTAGGTTGTTTAATAAAATTGGGGCCCAGTTCGCCACGAACCACGGAGATGGAGGATCCTCCCCGCAGCTCAGTAGTGGACCTGAACCCCAAGGCCCTGTTTGAGTGGTGGTGTGATGGAGTGGGCGGAGGTAGATGTCGGGATGGGGAAGAAGAACTGAGGTTGCAATGCCCTCCCAGGGGGTCAGCTCCCCCACTGACCCCAATAGGCACCCCCATTCTCTGAGACCTACCAGGGGAGGGAGGCTCCAGTACATCCATCCATGAGCAGGAGGCTGCGGCACCACCAGGGACCCAGGCCACGGATCGGCACATAGCCCTGAGGACCGACCAGAACCGGAGCCAGCGACCCAAAGCCCACCAATGCACCAAGAGCCCCCAGGCCAGGGCCGGCGCATGCACCACCCCAAGACTCCAACAACATACCCGCCAAGACCCGAGATCCCCGGGTCAAGCCGGGACCCCAGTCCGGGAGCAACACTCCCCCAGAACCCCGAGCCCGCCCCAACCCCACCCAGGAGCAGCCAGGCCACCAGGCCAGTAACCTGCGCCCACTGGTACAGACCACCCAGAGGCCTGCATGCAGCCAACAGAGGTCAACGCCCAGAACCACCAAAGCCACCTCCCCAGTCGAGGGCCCACAACCTCCCCCCCCATGCCCCCCAGCCCCGATACCCCCCCATATCAACAACAATGCCCCTCAGGACGAAATCAAAGGTGTTCACCCACCTCCACTACAGGTTGGAGCCAATCAAAGAAGCCCAGAGAGACTGGTCTGATGTGGAGGTACAGGCTGTCTCAAGACTTTATACTGTTTAATACTAGGAGTATTTTTATTTGAGTATAGTTTTTTTATTTTTGCTATACATAAAGCAGTAAAAATCATGTGAATTGACTTTGTCTCCAAGGTGACATCATCTAAGTGGCCCAATAAGCAAACTGACGGAGAGAGTGGAATATTACATCTCAGACTCTTTGATAAGGCTTCACATATCCGGCACCAAAACCTCTGAACAGGTGGACAGAACCAAAATGCGTGGATGTAATTGTCAGGAATATTGTCTGTTCACTGTGAGCAAACATTAGATCTTTGTTTACATGTTAGCAGCGTTAGCTAACCTCCCAGGACGAGCTTTCGAGTCATGGTTGCCCCTGGCAACGACGCTCTCCGCACTGAGCTTCGGTTGAGCTTTCTTTATCTACGGATAACATTTATATAAATGCTGTTTTTTTCCTCCATATTCACAATTACAGCCGAGTTGGAAATCCGCCAGTAAGTCGTGTTCACAGTATGCCGAGATGCGGTTAAAAAGATGGGAAGTTTTGCGAGAAACGTCGCTGAAACTTTAAATTTGCCAACTTTGAAGTGCGACACAGCTGTTGTGCACGAAGGACAGGGTAAGTAAACAAGCTAGGCTACGAAATCACTTTGAGCAACGAATAAATCAGTCGTTTTTTGTGTATATTTTTTGTTTAAATCAAGGATGTGTTAAACATTGGTCCTCCAAAATGGCTCCAATAATCTAGACAATAACAATGCTCAAGTTTGACAACTTCCTGGTTGCATTCTTGTGGTGTCTCTGTGTCAAATATGTCAATGGGTTGTCAAAGTTAGGGTCACGCAATCTTTACAGATAATTAGTAATAGCATATTTAGTATTAACTGTGACAAAAAGATAAGAAAAGTGGTTATAAATGGATAAAGATATTAGCATGGGGCTCTTTGTTAAAAGCCTTTTAGCAATCTTTTCTGCTTTACTCATGTGTTTCTGCAACATTTATTTATAGAATCAAAGCGTTTCTTGAAACCACTGGTGTGATATGATCTGTTTTTTTTTCAGGTTTGGGTTTAATTTTACAGCTGGGAAGGGACTATGAGAAAAAGAAGCACAAACTTTTGCAGGAGCTGCAGCTGGACTACAAAGATGGCGCTGCCAAGGTTTTGTAATGTACCTAAAAGTTCAATAAGGCTTAAAATGTGTTTTCATTCACAGTGATAATTAAGCTGCTTTCATGCACTGACACATTTTCATGTATTTTTCCACAGAAAATTAATGTAAAACCTCATGAATCTCATTCACATCACCAAGGTCTTTCCTTGCCTATCACTGAGAGAGCATCAATAAAGGTGTGCATCATTGTTAGTGTGTTGCTGTTTGTCCCTGACTGTGGCAGAACAAACAGGTTAACAAACAGCAGAAACTGAACTGTAATGTTTTACTGTAAATAATGTACTGTTTTAATCGTTATAGAAGTCTTGAGTCAAGTGATTGTGTTTGCTTTTCAACTCTTGCTTCATTAATTGTGTTTTCATTTGTTTGTGCCACAGGAAAGACTAAGAGAAGAGAGGAATAAAGAGTACAACCTCTTTCTCCAGGAGCAGGCTCAGAAACGAGGGTTAAAGAGGGGAACGTCTCCGGTCACCTCTAAGGTCAAATAAAAAAATAATAAATTTCTCAGATAACAAAAATGCGGTTTGCATTTTTAAAGACAACAGGACAAAATAAAAAGGATGCAAAGCTGTCGTAGTACTATCAGTCCCTCCAATGCTGAATATTTATTCCACGTTATAATTTTCAGCTGGAACACTTCCAAGCATCAGATGTTGTGAACCTGACTTCTCAGTGTCCGCCTCTTCCCATCCTCAATACCCAAACAAACACCCCTCCTCCTCCTCACAAGGATTGCCCTGCATTCAGGAGAGATGCTGCCACTCTGACTGAAGCAGGGGACACTGAAAAAAACACCAGGATCCTTGATCCTCCCAGGCGAAGGAGATGGCAAATCCATAAACCAAGAGAGCTTTACAGCTCTGAGGAGGAGCTTTGCACAGACGAAGAGGAGGACTTTGATTTCAGACGTAGGAGGAGGCCAGACAGAGACACCCATGAGCCTCAATATCACAAGAAGAGGAGATCACAAAAAAGCAGATTGGACAGGTGTGGTATTTAGGACTAAAATGTGTAGGTTTTGTAGTTTTATTGTTGAGTTTTCCTGTCTTTTTTTTAAATGGCAGGACTGTTGAGGACATGAAAGAGATGGAGGGCTCTGTTCTTTCTGATCAGAACAACAAGGATGGGGTCTTGGAGTCAGAGTAAGGAGAATCCATTTTGTAATTTAAGTTTGTATCATAAGGCTAAAACAATCAGACAACAGCTTCACAGTGGTTTACCGGTTCCCTGGTTAACTCTTCCTGAATGTAATTGCTTAAAGTTAATTCAAGAAAACCCAACAAATGTTCAGAATCAGCACAGCTAAATGTGCCAACACGCTAACCATAACACAATGTCAAGTCTAGTTGTGTGAATGTTTATGAAACCTTCACACTATCGTGATCCATTTTTCTTCCGTACGTTTTTCGGCATCTTTCTCGTTCCACAATTTTTGTGCTATTTCAGCAAATCATATATCAAAACCTTCAGCTCGTTCAGGAAAAGGGTGTTATGACTTTTGGTATTGGTGCAACTTTAGCTTTTTGAAATATTTAGCCTTTTCTGCCACTTATGTTCTCCTATAAAATGATTTGAGCTCATTTTACTTCCTTCAAATCTTTAGATCTGTTTACAGCCTTTTACTGCTCTTTTCACATTTTGTTCTGCTTCAGTTTCTTTCAGCTTCCTTGTGCAAATTTAAACCTTTTTCAGCTACTTTCAGTTGTTTTTTCAGCTGTTTAGTGATCCTTTCAGATTCTTTTTGCTAATACAACATTTTTGTGCTTCTTCTAGCTTCTTTCTGATGCTTTCAGCTTATTTATGCAATTTTCAAGTTATTCTGCTATTTCAGCTGTACTATTTAGCCGTTTTTATGCAAATTTTAGCTTTTTCAGCTAATTCCACAATTTTTACACGCATTTCAACATTTTCCAGCCTAATTCAGTAAAAATATGCTCTCTCCATTTCCTTTTGGTTATTTAAGCTTCTTTCTGCTTTTTAGCTACTTTTCAGCAGGCTTCTTGCGTGTGCTAATTTCAGCTTTTTCAGATAGTTTCCACTTTGTTGTACTCATTTCTGCTTCTTTCAGCAAATAGGTTCTTTCTGCTTTCTTCTGCTTGTTCTACATTTTTAGCTACCTTTTTAGCTTTTTTTTAAGCTAATCAGCTGTTTTCAGATAAATTCAAAGTTTTTTTTGTGGTAATTTCTGCTTCTTTCAGCCTAATTAACTTTTTATACTAATTTTAGCTTATATGCTCCTTTCAGCTTTTGCTGTTAGTTTAAGCTTTTTCTGCTATTTAAGCTACTTTTAGCTGTTTTGTTCTAAACTTTTTCAGCTTATTCCACATTTTGTAACTCATTTCAGCTCCTTCCACTTCCTTCTTGTAGTTTAAGCTTTTTCCTGTCTTTTCAGCACTCTTCAGCTTTTATTTTTTTGCAAATTTCAGCATTTTTGTGCTCACTTCTGCTTATTTAAACCTAATTCTGAAAATATGTGCTCCTTCTTGTTTCTCCTGCTAACTTGGGCTTGTTCTTCCATTTCAGCTACATTTCAGCATGCTTTTAGCTAAATTCAGCTGTTTTTCAGCAAGTTCTTCTGCAATGAACATTCACACTGCATTTTCGCAGGAAATGCAATTTCTCTAGTTACTGCTTCTGTCCTCAGATATTGCTTTTCAGCACTTCTCAGACCTGCTGTTTAAATTTCCTCGTTACAGTTTCAGGCCGTTAAGATAATTTACTGTCGGTGATCTGTCACCATGTGCGGCTTTGTCCCAGCTCCAGGCTATATTGATTAAGCAGAAGGTTTTATTGTTGCCTCTGAGTTGAGTGCAGGTTGCTCTGCAGGCTGGTTGTTAGATGTGTGATGTTGAATGGTAGCTGGGCGTGGCTCAGAGGCGAACTGCACTGATGCTGCACTATTTAATGCATGCTTCCTGTTAACGTGTCTCTCTTTGTGCAGCAGTAAACAAATCCCAGACAGCATGAGGATCGCTGCAACATCTTCACCAGTTACCAGCAAAGACAAGACTGAGTCTGCAACGGGGCTCATGATTGGTAAAATGCTTATTTACTTGTCAAATTGTACATAGTTAAATCTTGCTTTAGAAAAGCAGATGCCCACACGTGTATTGTACCTTTTTTTTTTAACAGGAGGAACAGAAGACCAGACAAAAATTCAAATGAAGAAGGAACAGTACAGGCAGGAATTGCTTAAACAAATTGCTGAACAACAGGGAAACAAACTAAAGTAGGTTATTTATTTACTTAGATGATCATTTTTACAGCCGTTTTAGGTTAAGTGGGGATTCAAAATCCAGCTTAGCTGTGAGTTGATAGGGTTGTTTGTTCCATTTAGCTCTATGCTAGCCCTGTGACAGAATGATGACCTGTCCAGAGTATAATCACAACCTTAAAAAGATAAAGTGAGAACAAAAAAATGAGTGAAACAACCTAAAGATAGTTGTTGCAGCTGAGTGTCAACATGAGACGAGTCACATCAACCTTTTGTTTCCAGAGAGAAGAAACTTGAGCTAAAAGTTGCAGCAACTGGAGCCACAGATCCTGAAAAAGAGGTAACAAAAAAATCAATTTAAAGAAATGGAATTTTAATTTGCCGACACGACGCATCTTCTCTTCCAGCCCGATCGAATAAAGCAGCTCAGGATGGCAAATCAGCATTTGAGACAGGATGCTCCTCACAAGTCTGGGATAGACCTGGAGACCATAGGGATGGATCCTAATCCAAGGCCTAGAGATGAGAACACACAATACAGAGCTCTTCGAGGGAATTCTTTGACAGACATTAACACAACGCTCAGCCAGCTACCAGGGAGGACTATGCCTGGTCCTGGGATGAGATTAGAACAAGATGCTTCACCCTTTGACTTCATCCATGAGGATTATCACAATAACATCACAAGAACTCCAGGAGAAGTGGCCCTTCCAAGGTACCGGTAAATACTTACCGTATTTTCCAGCGTATAAGTCACTGGTTTTTTTTTGCATAGATTAGTCCTGCAACTTAAATATGCCAAAGTGGCTTGTATATGTTTTTACCCCATATTCTTAACACAGTTTTTTGTCTGACGCTTTAAATTTTGAAGAACTGCAACAGCGAGTCCTCTCGTGCACGGTCGCTTCACTCAGCTGGTGCAGGCGTAGGAATGTTGGAGAGCTCACAGCTCTGGCCACGATGGATGAATGGATGGTTGGATGGATGGATGGATGGCGCCATGCCGCCCAGGCGAAATTAAGCTGTTTTGACCATTAAAGTGCATTTATTAAAGAAAAGTTAAACTAAGACACACCTTCGCTATAATGTCAAGCAATCAAAACAGTGTTTTTAAGTGTTAATCTTGTTAAAGTTCTAAGAACTACAACAGCAAGTCCTCCTGTGCCTGCTTGCTTCACTCTGCTGGTGCAGGAGGAGGAACACTGGAGAGCTAGCGGCTCCGGCCGCAATGGATGGATGGATGGATGGATGGATGGATGGATGGATGGATGGATGGTTGGTTGGCTGGATGGATGGTTGGTTGGTTGGCTGGCTGGATGGCGTTTCGCCGCCCAGGTGAAGTGAAGCTGTTTTGACCATTCAATAAATGCGTAATAAACGCGATGAGTCAGCGATGACGCATAATGAATGCGACTTATATATATTTTTTCCTCTTCATGATGCTTTTTTAAATTGATGCGACTTATATGCCGGAAAATACGGTAATTTTCTCATACATAAATCAAATAAACAACACTGATTTTTGTCTTTCAGAATCACTTCTGTTGCTCCTCGTTTACCTCCTATGGTCCCAAACAAGCCTCCGTATGACTCAGCTCCTTACTGCCACAGCACCAGGAACCCATTAGAGGTTCAGGGTGAGGCTTTAATACTTAAGAACACTGTACCGACTGTCACGTATAGTGGTGGGAGCATCATGAAGCGGTACAACAAGGACGTAATAACAGGAGTACCTCTAAATTATTTACCTTTACCTCAGGACAGCAACTAATGTTTATTTAAATGCTTTAGTGATGACTAATATTTAGTAAACCATTGCGTGTTACTGATGCTGAACTTCACTTATCAGATAATCTGCACGGCGGAGTTCAGCAGTTCAGGAATTTTGAGACCCCCCCTCTTTGGCCCCTTCCTGTCAAAGCCTATGAGTAAGTGGCCCCTTCACCTCCTTAGTACAATTAATTGTTGTGTTATTTATAAGTTTTTTCACCAGGAGCAAGTCAGATTACCTTTCTTTTCTTCTCCAGTAGAGGGCTCTCATAGCAAACACATTATTTCTCACTTTTTTTTTTTTTACTTTAGAGACCCCCCCTTTGCTACTGAAGGGCTTCATGCAAACCTGTCCCAGCAGAGGAGAGAGAGCATCCTGAGATACCAAGAAGCACTTAAACAGCAGGTGAAGTGGTGAACTTATTGTTTTCATACAGCACTGATGTTTGAGGAGGTACGTCAGTGTTTGAAACATCGTGGCGTCCTTTTTTGTCCAGATCCAAGAAAGAGAAGAGCGTAAACAAAGAGAAAAGGAGGAGAAGGAGCGATCTGATGCAAAGTCAGAGGCTGAGATGATGACCTACGACCCCTGGGGGAGAAGTGGAGGAGGTGCCCCAATTAAGGACCAATATGGAAACCTTGTTAGTAAGTTCTACTTTATTTATTTAAACGAAACTTACAAAACGAGATATATTATGACTGAATAATGTGATCTTTTCATACATGCGTCTCTATTTTCAGGCGATTTGAAGCAAATGCACATAATCAACCAAAACAGAATGTTCAGTCCAAGAGGTGGAGCTGGTTCTCCTTTGTCTCATCAGCTCTCAGGTTCTGCTTTTTCTCTCACACTGAGGCAAACTGGTTCCCTGAAATTACAATATTCCAGTTGGATGCTCATTTTGGATGCTTTACTGAAGAGTGTCCCACGTCTTTTACAGGTTCCAGTCATGATCCTCCTCCACAGCAGCCCCCCATTCAGGACAGGTACAAAGAGGAGCTGAAACAACAAGTGAGTCTCGGGGAGTCAACCACAAAATCCTAAATCTATTGCTCAAATATTACCCAGCATTTACGCCAGAGTTTTAAACTAAGGCCATCTTATGCTGAGAAGTGATGAAATTATAATGTTTTGGGTCAAAACTTGAAAATAACTGTTCAAATCATTATCCTGATGTTTAAACAGATAGAGGAAAACAGGAGGAAGCGTGTAGAGGAGCAAGAGCGCCAAAGGATGGCAGTGGAGCAAGAAGAGGAGCGGCTGAAGAAGGAGAGGGCTCGCATCCTGCAGCAGTACGAGGAGGAGCAGAGACGACAAAAAGAAGCTCAAGTAAAGGAGTTCATATCTTTAGGGAAGAGCTCTCCATCCTTCCTGCTTGTTTTTCATGCTGCCCCTTTATTTATTTACCTTCATCACTTGGACAACGCCAAAAAGAAACGACGGGTCCATGAAGTCCTTGTGCAGCACGCAAAGGAGGTTAAAAACACAAAACAAAGAAAACATCTGGTACCTCAGAGCGACAAGGAAAGAGAGGAGAACACCTCACAGTTCACTGTTCAGGTATAAACCTGGAAAGTGTTGGAGCTTAAGATTTTTGGAACATTTATGTCAAAAATGTTCTGTTTTATTTTTGTAGAGGGAGCAGAGACAACCATCTCCTCCTATTCCAACTTTGCAGAAGAAACATAAAAGTCCGGCAGCATCAAAGCCAACTTCTGTGAGCCAGCTCTCTATGCATGCACATATTTTCACACAGTTGTGATACAGTGGATCTAAAATGCTCACAACTTCCTACAGGAGCGCTCCGTGTCGGCCCCTTATGTCCAGCCTGCACCCAGACATATTCCAACACATCAAAGTAAGATTGTTTCAGAAGCCTGGCTGCATTTTGTACATAAAACATTACAACTTTTACACATGTTGTGATTTCAATCCCTCCTAATGTACTTCAGAGGGTCAGCGGGAAGTGATTGAAGGGCTTTCAGCTCTCCGTAATTATCTGAAGAAAGAGCAGAGACAGGTGGAGCAGCTGGGCCTGACGGACACATATCCCCCTCACCTGGGCAGGTACACCAGTGACATCATGTTAGGAGGCGGGTGGGTTCTGTACATGGGTAACATACAGTGTTATGGAGCTTTAACCTTTTAGGTTTAGCCATATTTCCAAAATGTGAACTTTGTATTTATCATCTACAAAGTAGATGTACAGGATTTCTAACTAAATTGTCCCTAGGTGTGAGTGAAAGAGTGAATGGTTGTTTGTCTCGTTTGTCTCTATGTGTCCCTGTGATGGACTTGCGACCCGTCCAGGGTGTACCCCGCCCCTCGCACAGTGATTGCTGGACATGGGCACCGGCGACCAATGCGACCCAAATTGGAAGAAGTGGGTAAAAGATAATGGATGGATGGATGGATGGATGTACAGGATTTCTGTTTTAGCAAAAAACACTATTTTGGTTTGCTACCAGCAAAAAGTGACACAGCAATGATCAAACCAGTAATTTTCTTCTCTAAACTTCATTCTGGTTTGGGTTAAAGACTTGTCACCTCAGTAATGGAACAATCTGACCAAATGAAAATCTTTTAATGTGGCTGCAGTTTCAAATTAACTGCATTGCTCAGTTGTTTAGGTAAATGCTGAATCAGCATTCACACATTTGGCAAAACGCTTCACATGTATCTACTTGAATTTGTGGATTTTCTGTAATTCTTTAAAAAAAAAATTCTGAACCGGCTTTATTTTTATATATTTTTTCCAGATACAACAAAGTGCTTAAACAGAAAGCTCAGTCCTTTATGCATCTTGAAGACACCTTTGTAATAGTCAGGGTATTTTTATTATTTACATTTCAGTGATTCTGTTTTTTCTTCTCACATACAGAAGATCCAGAACGAATGCCTTTGAAGCTGCAAACAAACAATCTGCTCATCCATTAACTAGAAGTCCTGCTTCTGCAATTGCTGAAAGACAAAACGATCAACTTAAAAATGGAGGTACTGAAACAGACTGTAGCGCTGTGAATCGGATAATTTATTCTTAGAGTAGTGATGTGCAATGAATAAATTAGGCTGTGGGACCATACAGAACAAACTGAAGGGGTTTCACTCTTCTTCTTCTTCTTCTTTGGTTTTTAACGGCAGCTTGCATCCATCAATGTTGCACTACTGCCATAGGGGTTTCACTCTATCTGACTGTAGGGTTTTGAACGCTGGTGTTCCACAGGGTTGTGTGCTATCACTACTTTTATTCTCTATATACACAAAAGCGTTGCGACATAACAGCAAAGACTTCACATTAATTAAGTATGCTGATGATATTGCCCTATAGTTTCTGGTCTGAAAGACACCAATAGTCCCTCCTACTTCCAGCTCATATCAGCTCTCTGCCTGGTTTGATGACAGTTTTCTGGACCTTAGTGTCTGTAAAACCAATGCACTTTGTCTGGGAGGTAGATGAGGAGCAGCCAGCACCAGATCTATATTTAGGCCTTCTATTATAAAAGGGCAGGAAGTAGAGCAGGTGACTGAATTCAAATACGTCGGAACAATAATTGATAAGTTAACCTTTCAGCCCAACACTGACTATATTTATAAAAAGCCATACAGTGTCTCCACCTTCTAAGCTTTGGCGCTTTAATGTTAGCAAATTTACCAGTACTTTGCAACTGGTGTACCTGTTGAACGTGTTATTTCCTTTAAGATTGTCTCATGGTATGGGAACGTCCTAGCATGAGACAGGAACAAGTGGTCAAACAAGGTAGTAAAGTCATTGGTCATCAACAAATGAAACTTACAGACCTGTACAGTCAGGTTCTAGAAAAATCCAGGTTTACAATGAGCCAACTCATCCACAGCAACCATTATTCAGGTTGGTACCATCTGGCAGAAGACTGATGTTCCTCTGGTTAAAAAACAAAACAAATGGGTACAAAAAGTAATTTGTTCCCTCTGCTGTGCGTCCTTAAATTATCCTATTTAAACACAGCTCACATGACAAACCATTGTCTGCTGGGATGTTTTATGTTTTTAATGTATCATGTACGTATTTTAGAATTTTATTGGGTTAGCAAAGCTTTTTACACATTTTATGACATTTTTTACTTTTTTTCTTTTTAATGAGCCAGATGTCAAAGATAAATCTCCATTTTATGGCATGTTAAGGAAAATAAAGTTATATCGATCGACTTTTATTGAAAGCTATTGTTTTGGTTGAAAAGAAACTCAACTTATTGTTTCTGACACTAAAGCATCAGTAACAAATGAAGCACCTTCATTACTCCCACATATGAGCTTAGTCGTAGTTTTGAGGAATAAAAATGTAGGAACCAGCACAACACTGCAAGTTTATTAAAGGTCTGGGTTTCCAACATCATAAAATAGACTCTTAAACAGAGGACTTTTTTTCAAGTTACTATAATTTTCATCTGATTTTCCGTCCTCTCCTGTAGATGTTTTAAATGATCAATCAAGACATTATTCCACTGTAAGTATTCATCACATCATGTTTTATGTCACTGATCTAAAAGCCTATAATTAAATGGTTCCAGCTCAGATTGTTCCTTGTATTGCTGTGTGTGTTTCAGAGAAGGAAACCTGTGTGTTTCGTCCCCAGAAACGCCTCACTGCCATTTGAGAAGGCTTTCACTGGTAAGCTGGGCTCAACAGAATCTGTTTGTGAAGACTCGTCTTTTTCTTAGCTTTTCGGTCCTCGCGTCGCGTCAACACAAAACACATCCAGAATTTTTCCTTTTCCAAAGCACCAGTGTGGGTTTTCCTATAAAACATGACAGTTTTGGATTTGCTGCTCTTAGTTTCCAGTTGAGTGTGTTTTCTCTGTGCCAGATAAACACTGCATGAAGCAGATAGTGGCAGGACAGGGATCACAGGGCACAAGTCAGCTGCAGGGTGTCGACCGGACAGTGCCAAGCATTACGAGTGAAGGAAGTGGAGATAAATCCAAGGATAAAACAGGAGGCTGTAATTCTTTTCCTTTCACACTTCACTAAATGGTCAGAAAAGGTTTATAGGATGATTACGTGTAACATTTTATCTCACTAACGTCAGTCCAGGTTTAAAAGGCAGCTGTTTTTATAAATGATTTTCAGGTTTATGGACAATTTTTTTTCTTCTTGTTGCAGGTGACGGGCAAGTTGACCAGCAGGGAGAACCTCAGCCCTCAGAGAGACGGGAAAGGACAGCATCGCAGAGAAAACAGGTCCGTCAGGTATGCTCCTGAGAAATATTTTATAAATTACTTTTGAAACCGATTTGTTTGCATTATAAAACAGGCGGTTGCAGATTTCCTGGATGAAAGGGAGCAAAATGATCTGCCAAGCAACAGTTTTCTGAGGTCACATAAATTAACGGACAACAGGAGACGAGACTCAAAAAGTGACAGAACAGGTGAGAGGAAACTGTTCAGTTATCTGCACACTAATAAACAATTATGAGTTATAGTTCAGATATTTTTTAATGTGCTTTGTGGAAAGGTTATGAACAAGTATCTTACCTGTTGCAGACCGCTCTTTGAACAACCTCAGTTTGGAGAAACAGTTTGATTCAAACTGGAGTGATGAGCTAACGGCTAGTCTGGGTGAAGATCTTGGAATGTCACAACAAATCACACAGATCCGTTTTATAACCCTTTACATGGCTGTGAGCTTCACATCATACCGTTATTCAGGCAGAGATGTTCTCCAGGCTGCGCTGGACGGGCTACAGTTATCTGCTTCAATTAGCTTAGAAATAACCACAGGATTCAGATTCTACTTAAATAACATCTGCAACAAATACGATATTAATTGTTCACATTTCTACAGAAAACCAATTTTTTAAAAGTATAAAGTTTAGCTTTAACTGGTTTAAGAAATTCGTGATAAACAACTCTTGTTACTTTTCAGGCCTGAAGAGACCCGTTTCTGTGGGAACTGTTGCGACAGAGCTCTGGACCCCCCGGGAGCATCAGAACATGTAAACCACTCCACACGCTGCAGGTTACTCCTCTCTGGCTGACGCGTCACGTCGTACAGTCCCACGAGCTGGTCTCGGTCGGGCGTTTCTCTGAATGTGGCACGGTTCAAAAACGCGCCCGTTATATTTTAATCACCCAATGAACTTTTAGCAAACAGTTTTCCATCATCTAATCTGTTTGATTAGACAAGGTCGGTAACGGAAGGTGCGAACCATAACCTTCTGTTTTCTTGTAACGGACACCGGAGACATTAAAAGTTAAAATGTTACGTTGTCCTGACTGATCATGAGTGTAATAGATGAAACTTATAACGGATTCTTAATTTCAAATCAACCAAGTTCAAAAACTTTATTGACCTAGAACCTGATTAGAATGCCAGATGATGTTTTGTACAGAAAGTTGTACATAATCTTTTGAAACATAGAAAACTTTACATTGCTGTATGATATACACGTTGTTTTCTACATCCATGAGCAGGAATGCATCCCATTCATACTTAAAGCACAGCTGACATTTGTCATTTTCTCTATACATTTAAGCGTCCCCCCAAAAAACAAAACAAACAAGAAAAAAACATTAAATATATTATTAACCTTTGATTTTGTACACAAGCGTGATAAACTAAACTCACATGAAAACAGAAAATAGTGACTAGCTAGCTTCAGTTTGCTCTCGCCTTTTCGATCTCTGTTAAAAACCTAAGAACAAATATATAAAATGGAATAATTTAACCCTTCAGTTCCCCCGCAGTCTGGGTTCTTTACAAATCATACTGTACGGGAGCATCTGCTGGAGGTGGTGCAGTCAAATAAATTATCACAAAAGTAAAATCTCCAGTGCATTTAAAAAAAAAAAAAATGCATTTAAAAGATCAAGTGCAGCAAATCCAGAGGAAAAATAAACAAAAATAAAGTAAATCTAGTGTTATAGGATTATTTTACATAGATCTGTACAGCTAGTTTCATCCAAGAGGCTATCAGTACTGACGTTAGCCATCTGTGGTGCAAACAGGGATGGTTTTATACACTCGTGATGAATTTCATAGTCGAGTTTGTAGTTTTGCATGTTGAGATCATTCACTTTTAAATATACAGTAAGAAGCACACACATGTTGACATATGCTCCTTCAGATCAGAGATACTGTTGATCGGTGGTTAGTGGAGGTGTCGCTACATCTGGTGCGAGATGTTTTTGTCACGACGCCGACTCCATCTGGGCTCTTTGTGTGCGGTGACGGGGTGTGAGCAGACAGTTGATCAATAATCAACTCTTAAAGTGTTTGACGTGAAACACGCGGAGGGTCCTGAGGAGGCACTGCACGGCCACACAGATCTGCGAAGGGGGCCTCAGTAGAGTTGTTTTTGAGGTGCAGCATCACTGCGCCTCCTCACCAGCCTCCTCCCCCACCTCCGTCTCTGTTTCTGGCTCAACCTGGCCCTGCTCGGGGCCCGGTTCAGGCTCTGGCTCAGGCAGCTGTGCGATATGAAAGACGATGCCGATCCGCAGGTAGAACTTCCTCAGAACGGCTCGGAGCTCAGGGATCAGGTCGAACTGCATGATCTCACACAGGAGAGGATAATATCTGGATGCATGGGCCTTGAACTGAATCAGGGAGGAGGGAGGGAGATAGAAACAGAAAAAAACTGTGTCAGACAGACATGCACGTCTTCTATATGATGGGTAATTTGCATCGACTAGTGATCGGCGAGCGCTCCTCTTTCTTACCCTTTCATCGCTGATCTTCAGCACCTTAGTGAGGAAGAGGAGCAACAGGTTGGTCCAGGCCTCTCTGTGACTTTCTGATGTCAGAGCCAGGAAGTACGCTACAGCCTCACTGCACACACTACGACAAGAACAAAAAAAAATCTCAAAGGTTGAACAACGAAGTGAGAGAACAAAAACAGACAAATTACAGATTAAATACAACCAATAAATCGTTTTAAGAAGAGCAAAGCAAAAGAAGAGAAATATGGATTTTAAACATGTATACGTCGTTTCTACTTTCTGTTTCTTTGCTGATGTGGTTCAGATTCACTGAGTGGAATAGAGGTTGAACACAGGCACTGGTGCTTAGGCCTGTCACAATAAACAATAAATCAATTAAATCACACGATAAATGAAAATTATCGACCTCATTTTCATTTATCGGCTTTATCGTTTCTTCGTGTTTCTCTTTCTACTGAAGACACTGGATGACAAAAAGCTCAACTCCGGTGTTCTTCACTGACCCCTCCCTTTCTCTTTTCTCTTTAAAATCCATTTTAACCATCCAAAATCGTGATTTTGGATCATTAAAATCAGCTAAGCTGAGAAGCTAAGTTACGAGCTAAGCTAACAGGTTGACCTGGGGGGGGGGGGGTAACCTCCATCTTGTCAAAACTCCAAAATTCACGGTTGAAACCCGTGCCTTCGTTTAAAAAGTTGTTTTTCTCTGCAAAAAGAAGCTGAGAACTTGTTTACTGATTTTTATTTAAAGCTTTGTGTGAAAAATGCTAAAGAGCTCAAACCACACTGAGCGTCCGCCATTTTGAGAACTGTAAAAAAGGAAAGAGAGACAGCCCACGTCACGTCAAGGGGCCTCCCTCCCATTTTTCTTAGAGACACGCTGCTTGCTCCCACACTATCCATCCTTCAGTTCAAACAGTCTTACACTGCCATCTGGTGGTCAAAAAAAGGTACTACACTCCAAACAAGTTAACCAACATTTCTTCTTAAATTTGACAATAATTACAAATTACTGTCAAAATTCAAACAATATTATCATTTATCACAATAATTTCTGAGACAATTGCCCAGCAAAATTTGTTATCGTGACAGGCCTACTGGTACTGCCTTCCACCAGTGACACGGTGTGCTGCTTACTTGAGCAGTCGTCTCTGGACCTCCTCCCAGGCGTCCCGTCGCCTCTCGTCCGTGTACATACGGAACAGAATGCGCAGCCCACATGCCAGACTGCTGGTCTCCTGCTTCAAGAGGTTGGGCTTCGACTTTCCTTTGAAACCTTCAACACACGCACAGTTACAACCAATTAGGTGAAAGATGTTTTTAAGTTGCCTTAAGACAATTACAGTTTGTAGCCGATGATTTTACCCTCCTACCTGCTTTCCACAGTAAAGTTCTTTGCTCGTTGTTGGAGTTGAAAGCCTTGGCAAAGCAATGAGACTTCAGCAGGCAGTCCAGCAGCTTGAAAAGCTGCTCTGAGGTCAGATAGCGGTACATCCCCTGGTCCTGGGTCTCCACCTGGACATCTGTCGCACACACTGCATCCCGCTTTAAAATGACAGATCAGCACTGCCGTAAATGAAGGAACTTGTGCAGCAAACATCTCCTGCAGGATCATCCTCAAACTCTTTGTACCTGAGCAGCAGCGAAGTTCTCGGCATCTTCTTTCTTACTGGTGGCAGGGAAGAACACAATGTTGTCGATGGTCTGGATGAGCTCCAGCTGCACGACGCACTTTATCAGCAGAGCCGAAAATAAGCGCTGCTCCTGGATCTCTGCGGAACGCACAGGTGGAAGCTCATTAGGAATCAGACAAACATCAAAACACGGGCGGTCAGCGGTCGAGAAGCAGAAATTACTTGTCAGGTTCCTGCTCCTCAGAATGTCCTCACAGACGCCGGAGGTCGAGCTGTGCTGGCTCTGACGACGGTTCTCCACAGCGACCCTGTCAGCGCTGCTGATGGAATGCTGATCGTCAGAGCGGGACTGAATGTCCAAGGACTTCTGGGAAATTGAGTCCTAAAAACAAAATGGGCATTGCAATTGCATATTAAACTTAAAAAATAATCACATTCATTCAGAAAATGCATTTACTCAGGAAATCATGCCTTTAATGCTTAAAGAAAGTTACATTCTGAAGACTGTATGACATGGAAGTATAAACAGCATTTCCTCACCAGCTGTTTATCAGACAGACTATGTGTTGTGAAGTGCTCTCCCTCTGGTCTCCATGTTAGCAGCCTTTAAATCACAGAAACATGATTTCAAAACAAACATTTACTCCTTTAAAAAAAGAACCCACTGCATCACAAAGTCAGTTAAAAACGGATAAACAAAACTAAATGAGCAGCTTACGCATGAGGGATTGTGGTCTTGAAGATGTCCAACATGCAGTTACACGTTTTGTCCCAGGTCTCGAGGGAGAACTTCTCCCCGTTCAGGATGACCACGTTCTCTAGACAGTTGGTGCCTGAACGGGCGAGCTGCTCATTATCTGCAGATGAGGAGACGAGGCGGAGGAGGAAGAGGAGTAATTAAACAGGAGAGAACAAACAGTGGTAGGATGCACCATAGGTCTAAAGAGACTACTCATTATTTGTGATCTGGTGAGCAGTGCATGAAATCACAATCTTTAGTTTTTGTTGTTGCAGCCAAAAAGGAATACTGATAAGCTAACAACTTAGCCTCTAAAACTAGCATAAATAGCATTATCTGTTTTTTTCCCCAGCACTGAGGGAGTGTGGTATTTATGGGCCTAGTTTGTTTGGGACCGATGAAGTCCTTCGGATGAAGGACAAAACGTCTCAGCAAAAATAAGAAACCATCCAGATGACCTGACTGAACATCGTTGGATTTGTACCTGGATTATCGAGCATGAACCTTGAAGCATCATCACTTTTTCTCAGCTGAGGAGAGAATGAAACAAACTCAACAACTCAAAAGCAGATTTCACGCTCACCTTGCTGCACACACCAGTACAGCTGAGCCAGGATATCGTCCAACAGGAGGCCATTGAGCGACTCAAAGTATTGGGTGAAGACATCACAGATGGCATAAAGTGCATGGTTGCATGTGGTGGTCATCCACTCTGCTTTCTGGGGGCAACAAAAACAACCTTGTTGAGAATATTTCTCCACACATGAGAACTGAAAAATGGGAAAGAGCCGACTGGGACGAGAAACTGCACCTCAGTTTGTTGCTCAGGCAGCTTCATGTTGTCAAAGATCCTGAAGACAATCCTGAACAGGTCCTGCCACCAGTGTTTCTCAAAGGTGTGCCCGTAGGTCTTCATCACTTCGAACATCACCGTGAGCCCCCTGACAAACACACACAAACGCACTTTATGCTACAGCTGATAGTTTCCACTTTAACGGTTTTCTCTGACCGCGTTTAACTTGCGAGAACTGGAGCGCACAGCAAAACCCCACATACCTGGTCCTGACATCCAGTTTACACCTGTTGATGATGCAGGAGAGCTCAAAGAGGATCGGGAACCATCCTCGCACCCAAACACGGTCCTCAGGTGCTACATTCATGTCATCACTGGTATAATCCTTAAAGGCCTGCCAGAAAAGAAGAACCAGTGTCATCACTGTGGAGTTTTGGTATCCAGAGAGATTCTTCCTTTACAAAACATATCTCAATGCAAATGGCATCTTCTCCTAATATGAAACTGAAACAGTCACTACTTGTGAGATTCTAGAGGAGCAAGTTTAATAGCTCAAACGTACACAACCACTCATATTCACTTACTTTTATCCTCATTTCCTCATATTTAATTAGAACATTGCATGATCTCTGAGACTGACCTGTGGCCTCTCTGAGACGTATTTGGCGCAGTGGCGGATGAGGCGGATGGCTTCCATGCTGGTGTCTGGAAAAGAGGCGTTGCAGGCGAACTCCGACAGACACTTGACGGCATCCTGGAAGGAGTCGATCGTCGCCGGAAAGTGCTTTTCGAATACATTCGCTGTGAGACGGCCACACAAACCGTGAGTTCAAGTCCAAACATCTGATACGCAAAATAAAACGAGAAACCTGGGCGCTTAACTCACTGACGATATGCCCGGTGGTCTGGAAGGCCAGCTCCACGATGCTCTCGTCCTGGTCAGATGCAGCCAGGTGGAAGACTGAGAAGATGTTCTTCCAGCCTGAGCGGATGTTTGCCGCCTGGGAGTTAACCATCTGGGCGATGCAGCGTACCACCATGTCTCTGATGGTGGGAGACCTGAAGAAAACAGTGTCAGATAAAGAAACAAATGGGTCAAATCACTTCAAAGGAAGACAATTCATGTCTTCATTGATGTCAGTCTAATGAGACTCTGGCAAACCATCAGGCGGCTGAGGAGGGGAAAGCAGCGCTTTACTTAAACTGTGTTCGGTAAAGGTGGGGGTGCTGTTGACCTTAACCAGTGATGTCATCAGGAGGTGGAAGGAATACTTCTGACCTTCTAAATCCCACTTGCACATCTTCCATGGAGGAAGCTGAGTCAGGGAACTTTGGGGCTGATCTGTCCATAACCATGGCTGAGATCACCGAGGTAGTTAAAAAGCTCCACAGTGGCAGGGCACTAAGGGTGGACGAGATTCTTCCTGATTTCCTTAACCTCCTAAGACCTGAACTCTTGCATATGTGGATGCCAGGTCCTAAGAGGTTAAGGCTCTGGATGTTGTGGGGCTTTCTTGGTTGATACTCCTTTGCAACACTGCGTGGACATCGGGGCAGTGCCACTGGATTGGCAGACTGGGATGGTGGTTCCCCTCTTCAAAAAGGGGGACCGGAGGGTGCGCTCCAATTACAGGGGCATCACTCTCCTTAGCTTCCCTGGTAAGGTCTATTCAGGGGTACTGGAGAAGCGAGTCTGATTGTTGGTCAAACCTCAGATCCAGGAGGAACAATGCGGGCTCCATCTTGGCCATGGAACACTGGACCAACTCTTTACCCTCACTAGGGTCCTCGAAGGGTTATGGGAGTTTGCCCATTCAGTCTATATAGGTTTTGTGGACTTGGAGAAGGCATTCGACTGTGTTCCTAGGGGTATACTGTAGGGGGTGCTCCATGAGTATGGGATTGGGGGGCCGTTGTTACAGGCTGTTCGGTCCCTATACAAGCAGTGCGAGAGTTTGGTTCGCATTGCTGGTAGTAAGTCGGACCTCTTCAGGGTGGGAGTTGGACTTCGCCCGGGCTGCCCGTTGTCACCGATTCTGTTCATAACTTTTATGGACAGAATTTCTCTGTGCAGCCAGGGGGTGGAGGGATTCCGGTTCGGTGGCCTCAGGATTCCTTCTCTGCTCTTTGCAGACGATGTGGTCCTGTTGGAGTCATCGTGCCGTGATCTTCAGCTCTCACTGGAGTGGTTTGCAGCCGAGTGTGAAGTGGCTGGGATGAGAATCAGCAACTCCAAATCTGAGGCATGGTCCTCAACCGGAAAAGGGTGGATTGTTCTCTTCAGGTCGAGGGTGCGGTTCTGCCTCTGGGTAGTGACCTTAAGTACAAGATCGCCAATACAGGTGGTTGAAATGAGTTTCCTCTGCAGGGTAGCTGGACTCTCCCTTAGAGATAGGGTGAGAAGTTCAGTTATCTGGGAGAGACTCAGAGTAGAACCACTGCTCCTCCACATCGAAAGAAGCCAGTTGAGGTGCTTTGGGCATCTGGTAAGGATGCTCCCATGACACCTCCCTAGGGAGGTGGTGTGTCTGACTGAGAGGAGATGCCCAGGGAAGACCCAGGATACGCTGGAGAGACTACATCTCTGTTGGCTTGGGAACACCTTGAAATCCTCCCAGAAGAACTGGAAGAGGTGGCTGTGGAAAGAAATGTCTGACCCGACTTCAGAACAAGCGGAAGATAATGGAAGGATGGATGGATGGATGAATGGATGGATAATGTCTGTTTGCTCTAAAATCTCTCAATAACATCTTCGGCCCACTTTCAGGCAGAATGATTGTTCCAGCATTGACTTGTGCTGGCACTGCTGATTTGTTACAGCAACTGTTGCCATGGTGAAGAGCAATCCGGACTGCTCAGGAGTTATGAATGAGAGAAAAAGCTCCGCCTTCCCTCTCCGTCACACACTCAGAAACCTGAGCGAGTCGAATGGACATGCTGAGCTGCAGGGTTTACAAGGCTCCCAGCTGAAGCTCTCAGCCTGCTCAGCCTGTGGCTGTATTCATACTTGCACTCCTGCTTCATGTGCACACAGATGACGACATTAAATACACATGTTTAGCTAACGGTAGTTATTCAAATTCTAACTAATTCAAACCAAACAACAAAAAATGAGAGGCTTGTTATTTGACTAAGTGAAAATGTAATACAAAGAGAGTGAAATAGGTCAGTTAAAATGTTGTTTGCAGGTTCACCAGTCATTCACTGCTATAAAGAAAAAGAAGTCAATGCAGAGTTGCTTTAAAGGTCATAAGATAAACTGTAATTATTTCTGTACCGGTTCTTTTTCATGATGTGCTCGAAAGGCCTCAGAAAGTCCTTCTGGAACCTGAAGTTGGCCAGCTCCCCTTTCTCCAAGAACTTCATGGACAGCTGCCTGAGAGAATCCACGGCGAAAATTGCTACATCTTCATTGGGATTACAACCAACCTACAAATACAATTTAAAAAATATGCATTTTACTGTATATTTATTGCAGTTGCTCTTAACTTTTTCAGCCACATAAGCTACATATCCACTGCATCTTTCTCAGTGTTACTGTTACGGATTTACAACTGGAAATACAAAAATAAACACGATGTTGCACCAAAACATTTATTTACATCATAAATAACACTAACAAATGAACAAAAATACATCAAATTTCCTGAAGTCAAATCAATGCGTTAGACCTATAGAAAAACAAAAGTCTTTTTGGGACAATGATGCATAAATATAAAGCTAGGTGCATGTTCAGAGACACTTTTTAAAATAACTTTTAGGAATAAAAAAAAACTGAAGATGTTTATGCTCAATTAGGTTTTATTTCAGTGTGAAAAAAACAGATTTAGAAATTCCACCGATTTGTATTCAGAGTCACCAATTTGAAAAGATTCAATGCAAATGAAGAAAATAAAATAACCATAAAGAAAAAGTTTCTCTTGGTCTCCAATATTGAAGCTTTGAGCATTCTTAACGTTCCTTGTCTGTAAAGTACGATCAACTGTAGTTACAGTTTGTCACCTGTACAACAACACACCATAGTCAGTATTTCTGGTTGTTTGGTCATTTCATTGTAAATCATTTTATCTTTACAAAAATTCTACTTCTGTAAAACAAGAGACCAAGTGTGCACCCGAGTTACTGCGAGTAGTTTCAGTTGTTTTTCTGCTGTGCCTTTTAGTTTTTATTGGCATGATTTTAGTCAAATTTGTCATTTAATCCTGTTTAAAGCTGCAGCAAAACATATGATCCATCCATGAGAACACTGCGTGGATTTCCAGATAATTTGGAAACAATAAACTGACACTCAAGCTCATGGTTGAGTGGTGAAACTTCATTTATCTTGGTCAAGTTGTCATTTATGTCCTCTTTGGCATGCTGTAAAAAACATTTTTTTCCTTGTATAGATTTTGCATTATTCCACGCCCACCTTGTTAAAGTGGTCTCCGATGACCTCCCAGATCCTGGACCACTGCAGCCTGATGCGCCCCATGTTGTAGTACGAGATCTCAACTATCTTCTGCAGGCTGAACATACGTGGATGTGTAGGCGAGGCCAGCTCATCCATGGACACGGCACACAGCCAGCGCACAAAATCCACTGAAGAACAGAAACAAAACGATCGAGTGGAACAAAAAAAGATATTCTGAACAAAACGGGAGCCACGAAAAACTAAAATATCTCAAATGCAGCTTTTCATTTTTTGTGATCCACTAAACTCACCTATTGCATTTCCATCTAGTCTGGTGGAACCTGTGAATATCCTGAAGCAGAAAAACAGATTATATAGATATTTTTTTCTTTGTAGTTGAAATAATACTGCCTGAACCGACTGCATGGCAAGTTTAAGGCAACAGAGATTGAATTAAATGTGTAAAAACGTGGAAGTTCAACAGCAGGAAGTGCAATTCAGGGTGAAAATGATACCTGTCCACAGCTACCACCACACTCTGAGAGCTCGTCTCCCCAATAGACTCCTGAATGCTGGCGATCTGCTTACGGTCCACCGTTCCTCCAACTACAGGAAAAGAGAGACGGTGATTCTGTGAAGGCGCGAGTCGACCTCAAGGAAAAAGAGATTTTAGGAAAGATGTGACATTGAACTTTTGAGTGTTGACCTCTGACCTAAACCGAGGTACTCGTCGCTGCTCTGCTCCTTCGTGCTCGCAATAAAGCCCTCTTTGCCCCTCACCGTCCCTGAGATGTAGCGCGCCTTCACCCCCGTACCAATCAGCTGAGCCAGCTCCAACTGACTGATGCACTTCAGAATCTGAGAGGCAGAGAGGCAGTATCAGAACCGAAGCTTAAGAAGAATGGGAAGGAAAAGCCCAAAGGACCAGAAACTAGAAGAGAAACAGGCTGTGAGAAATGAGAAGCATGTTGGATAACATGAAAATCACCTGCAACATTTAAACAGAAAAGCTGAGCCAGACTAGAGAAACCTCTCACTGGTTGGTGTGAAAGTGAAAAGGCAAGAACTTTTACAGAAGCACGCAAAAGTTTCAAACTTCTGTTCCTTTGAAAAAACTACAAAATAAAACGGATGAACTCAAGTCAAGGACATAAAACTAAATGTTGCAGCTAAAAACAAGAGATTTATGTAAAATAACAGAAATGGCTGCAAAAAAAAAATCACCTCAAACTTGTAAAAACTACGTCTCTGTTCTTGTTTAAGAGTTTTTACTTCAATTACTGTGCACAAAACTTCTAGTTTGATTTGTAAAAGGCTAATCTCAATCCCATCGTTCTAGCCACCTGCTGAAGCAAAGGTTCATTTGTGCTTTTGAAGATCAGCTCCAGTTTCACCAGTTGTCTCCCAGCAGACCAGATGCTTGTTTTGTGGTGAGGATGTATATTTGTAAAGAAAGTGCTGCATCATCACTCCAAAATCTGCTGAATTTAAAGTTTAAAAGTCTCTAAAACCAGGCAAAAAAAAAAAAAATATATATATATATATTCTTGCTTTGCTTAAATTGTTAAAACATTTCATCTTTCACTTCATACATTTTAAATATCTGTTTATCCTCACATTTAAATATTAAGGTATTTTGTTAAGAGGTGCTCATATAAAGAATGAGAAGAAAGAACTGAAAGGCAGAAACAGGAAGTGTGAAACTGAGTTTAAAAAGCAATAAGAGGAGCAAACCTCGTGCCAGGAGTTGCCCAGGTAGTTGCCATCGGTGTGAGCCACAGTGATGAGGGTCTTGATGGTGTCGATGTTCTTCTGCTTCATTTCCGAGATGCCTGAGCTTGCCGTCAGCAGGGTGAACCTCGCCAGAGCCTGCACGTACGCGTCCCTCTCCAACTGTTCGGAAACGCAAACGATCAGGGTCAGACTGCAGCCGGGTAAAAAAAAAAAAGGTCTTTGAGTTCAGGCTGCAGTACCTGTATGGAGAAGATGCACGCTATCCTGATGGCACAGCGGATTCCTTCCAGACACAGCGAGGCCACGTCGGTGTCGTCGCAGTCCTGCAGACCCACGCTGAAAGCAGCCAGGAATGGCGTCCACGCCAGCTGAGGAACGAGGACAATTATTCCATAATCTTCATGTCTCTGTATGGATCCAGCAGGGTGTGCAGAGCTGGCGTTACCTTGAACATGGGCCTGACGTGTTCCAGGTGTGTGGCGCTGGTGAAAGGAGCCTGGACGTGGCTGACGGCCTCCATCAGAGCTTTGGCTGTCTTGGCCATTTGCTCCATCTCCACGTTGTACAGCAGACGCCTCTGCTTCTCGCTGGCCACACCTGCACAACAATCACGCAAATCCATCGAATGCTCCCCAGCAGAGAGAACACCACCTGTTTGTTTTATCTTTGAGACTCACTTTGCTTGTTGGACTTCATGGTCAGCTCTTTAGTCTCCTTCATGGCGATCTTCTTCCCTGCAATCTCATCATAAATGGCTGAGAGATACTCCTCTGGCAGGTCTTTGCTGTCGTTGATGCCACGGTTCATCTTGATGTACTGCTCTTTTGTCATTTTGTTCTTTACCTTTGCGAGTAACAACACGGGGACAAGTCATGAGCTGTGTGTGCAATCCCCATGATGAAATACTGATAAATAAGAGAAAACCCTAAAAACTGCTGCTTTATGAACGTGGACTTCTTACCTGTGGACTGTGAAGGTCTGTTGTCAACATAATGATTGAGTAGGCGAGAACATATGCAGTGTCAGCGCTGGCGAAGAGGGTTTGGCTGCAAAATTAAAAAGGAAGACAATGAGGGTAAGGAGAAGGATCGCAGAATATATTTAGTGATGCAGTAAAATGATGTTTAGACTCACCCCTGGTTGCATTCTAGGTATCTGGCTGCAAATTTCTCCATGAGCCGGTCGATCTTTTGTGCCTCGCCGGGGAGCCGAAAGCCCTCCAGGAAGATCCTCAGTGCAGAAACAAAATCTTTGCCCTGGAAGTCCATCTGATCCACGTAGGCGTACATCACCTCTTTGTTGAAGCGGTCATTATCCCCGAGAAACTCTCCCACCTGAGTCTGGAGGAGCAGAGGAGTTCATGCCATTTAATGCTTGGTGGATAAACTCGAGTATTTGATGGACTTTTGTTGAGCCTTTGTCTAAACTACTTGGGTACAGAATACAAATGTGTTTTTCCAACAAAAAACTTCCAAATTCTTCTACATTCTGATGCACCAAACTGTCCGTCAGCCCTACAGCGACTCCTGTTGTGTTTGACCTGAGCACTGCAACATTTAAACTAGAATCAACATTTTTCCATCTTAATCTAAAGAACAAGGTCACTGTAATCAGCCCAGATTAGAAGAAAAAAAATACATAGCATTATTGTTGAATTTGCAATTTGTAGCAACAATAAATAATGGCGTGTTTTTACAATTCAGCTGTAGCTATTTCATATTGAACTTGAAACTTTCAAAATGTTATGAAATATTTTGATTTATCTCTAAAAAAACTAACACAAATAAACATAATTGGACTTGAACTGCAAAAAATTCAAAATGGTTTTAGGTTCCCTTGAACATTTTCAAAAAAAAACAAAAAAAAAAAACATGAAATTTGTAGATTATTCACTAAATATTCTGAGTTTTATGATGAATTTATCTAAAAGTAAACAGTTGTTATCCAACAGGTGATGATGCTTCAGCTGTTTGAGTAATCAGTGATTTATGAGGCACCTGAGTCAGTCTAAATAAAATGTAATAAATTAATTGTTACCGAATCGAGCCTCTCTTCCTGGTGCAAAAACTGAGCCAGGTCCTCCGGGGTGGTACCCAGCATACCTTGCTCTTGAAGGTACTGGATTCCTCTCTTTGGTTTTTTGTTAAACCTGTGTAGAAACAACAAGCTCAATCTAGCAGCTGGATCGTATCATATCATGTTGTATCTTATCATCATCTATGGTTTAAAGCAGAGGTTGGCAACATCGTTTTCCAAAGGGCCAAATCAAGCCGTTTAAAGCAATCAAAGGGCCGCATAAAGAATTGGAAAATGTTCTTTATGACAGATAATCTAGAAGACTTTTTTAGGCCATTTCTTATTGTAGGATTAGCATGCTTTAAGTTTATAAAACATGTCTTTCCCATATATTTTAGGAATATAAGATTCTGTAAGCTGGCTCTTGTGACAATATGTTATACACGTTAGCATAACATGCTATGCACGTTAGCTTAACAAGTTATGCACGTTAGCTTAACATGCTATGCACGTTAGCATAACATGCTATGCACGTTAGCTCATGCTATGCACGTTAGCTTAACAAGTTATGCACGCTAGCTTAATATGTTATGCACATTACCGTAACATGTTATGCACATTGGTTTAACATGTTATGCACGCTAGCGTAACATGTTATGCACGTTACCTTAACATATTATGCACGCTAGCTTAACATGTTCTGCACGTTGGCTTAACATGTTATGCACGCTAGCTTAACATGTTCTGCACGCTAGCTTAACATGTTCTGCACACGTTAGATTAACATGTTGCGCACACGTTAGATTAACATGTTG